GCATGCAAGCGTCCATAGGAAAGCATTATAAATGCTTTCCTATGTGACCGGCTGAATGCGCGCAGATCTTGCCATGCGTGCGCATTCAGCCGACGGGGAGGAGAAGAGAAGGATCGGAGGAGGAGAGCTCTCCACCAAGCGCTGGGAAAAGGTACGTTTTTACCCCTTTCCCCCTTCCAGAGCCGGGTGGGAGGGGGACCCTGAGGGTGGGGGCACCCTCAGGGCACTATAGTGCCAGGAAAACGAGTATGTTTTCCTGGCACTATAGTGGTCCTTTAATATAAATATAGATATGTATAGTACTGGATTTAATGTGGACAACAGTTTCCTTTCACGTATTTCTGTTCTTTTCAGCGTAATCATCATAGATGGATTCGACAAGATAAACTTGGAAGATTTCAAGTTTCGTTTCAAGTTATGTGCTACACGTTACTCAGGGCTGTTATTTGAATTCCCTGACTTTATAATAGACTGTTTTTCGCATCAAAGAAAGAGGAAGTCATGTGTCTGTCAGGGCTTTATATAGGCTGGATGTGATGCCTGTTACTGATTGGTTTAAAGTTTTTTTCTGATTTATTTGTGCTGCTGGAGGCATAAAGTAAAGAAAGTTATGCAAAATATATGCCTCCTGTCATTATTAAAATTAGGATTATAGGTACACTATGTTAGCATAATCTACAATTATATACTTATATACTTAATTGTATACCTATTAGCATTGCTATTGTATATTTTTTTGTGTGTTTATTTGTTAACAACCTCACTGTCTTTTTTTCATAATGGTGTGCCATTTATGACTGCATGATCACATGGTTCTGCATGATCAGGTGGTTGAGTCACCTTTGCTGCTACTTTTCATTTTGTTTAAGTCTTTAAATTCAGGTGTGATTGAAGTTACTATTAGACTTGAGAAAAGCTCTCAATGGAGTTGAAACCTTGCTTGTGGGTTCTGTATAAAATTTAAAGTTTTGGGAATTTGTGAGTGCCATATCTTCTTTGTATTTGCTACGTAAACAAGGAGAGAGTAACCATGAGAACTGTGGAAAGATGGAATGACTGAAAATTAACTGTTAAAAGTATAATAAACACATTTGGTTTTCATATGATAAGCCCTGGAGGACCACCACCTTCAGATTTCATGTTTCACATTTAGGAGAAGGTGAACGCATGGCATCTGAACATCAAAGGTTTAGAAAGACTCCCAGATCTTGAAGCTGATTCTGGAGAAGCCTAAACAACCTCTGCAACCAATATATACCATCTAAAAAATAAATTTTGGGTTTACAAACTGCTGTTTTCTTTTTTTCTTATATTGGTTTCTCTATTATATACTATTAAAAGTAGCAGGATTCTGTTAGGATTGCAGTTTAAGCACCCTCATAGTGCCCTTGAATGAATTATATTGTGGTGTAGCTGGCATTGCCCAATGAGTAAACTCTCTTGTTGCTTCTAGTTGTCTAACAGCCCAGCAATATTCTGACAGCAAGTGGCAATGCTTGCTTTTGTTTGCATATTTGATTGCTAAGGTTAGCAATTTTAAGTAGCCTTAACCCTTTAAGGACTGAGCCAATTGTACAAGTTGTGATCAAATCAAAACGTAAACAAAACCTTGAATTTGCGGTACATGTTTGTTCAGGCGTAATTCACCTCTTTCATATTATGTGTACCCACACTTATTATAAATCATTTTGTTCTGGAGAAACGGGGCTTTCATGTCACATCAAATATTTGTATATTAAGCATAATTTAATATGACTAAAATATAAGAAAATGTGAGAAAATAAGAAATTTGAGTTTTTTTAGTTCTGCATGGCATTTTAACTGTGAATGTCACAATGCTGTTTGCTTTTACTGCAATAAAATACACATATTTTTATTCAGCAATGTCTCACGGGTAAAACAGTACCCCCAATGTACAGGTTTTAACACATTACATTTTTCAGTTTATACACATTGAAATTTGACAGACTCTTTATGTTGCATTTGAGACCAAATAGTAGCCCAGGAATGAAAATGACCCCCATGATGGCATGGCATTTGCACAAGTAAATAACCCAAGGTATTATAAATGGGGTATGTCCAGTCTTTTTTAGTAGCCACATAGTCACAAACATTGGCCAAATTTAGCATTCATATTTCTTTGTGTGTGAAAAATACAAAAAACTATTTTTGTTTCCAATTTGTATTTTATTGAAAGAGTTTTCATGAAATATGGGGTACAGAAAAGAAAAGGGGAAAACAAGGGGATAATCACAGATCCAAAGGTCAGTATACAGTTGCACAATTGTACAGGTTGTATGGTAGTACAGGTTGTATAGTATTTTATACAATATAGTAGTGAGCACAGGCAAAAAAAACAAATTTTAACACTAATTTTGTTTGTGACTAAGTTGCTACTGAAAAAGTCTCGACACAACCCATTTGCAATAACTTGGGTTACCTACTTTTGTAAATGGTATGCCATCATGGGAGTAATTCTCATTCCTGGGCTACCATACAGCCTCAAAGGCAACATAACCAATATGGCAAATTTCAATGTGAAAAAAAACTGATATGCAAGCCTTATATTTGACTCTATAACTTTTGAAAACACCATAAAACCTGTACATGGGGGGCACTGTTATACTCTGGAGACTTCACTGAACAGAAATATTAGTTTTACAGTAAAACGTATCACAACAATGATATCGTCAGTGAAAGTGCATTTTGTGTGTGAAAAATGCAAAAAAATGGTACTTGGTAAGTCACTTATAATTGTTTTATAGACTGTATATAAATGCACATTATGCACTGTATTGCCATCTTGATAAAGACCTGTTAGGTCGAAACGTTGATCCGTATTGGCAACATTTATTATAAAATAAATAAAAAAATTTCACTTTGAAAATCCATTGAGTGCTCTCATTTTTATTATTTCTTTCTTTTATATATATATATATATATATATATATATAGAGAGAGAGAGAGAGAGAGAGAGAATTATATATATATATATATATATATATATATATAATATTAGAATACACTGTTATTAATGGTTTATGTATGTGCATATAAAAGTACTTGGATCATATATATAAAAATATATATATGATCCAAGTACTTTTATTTACTTTATTAAACTTTTTATAAGCTTTTATTAACTTTAAAAACTTTTTTGCAAACAAATGCGCCTCGCCATCTCTGACAGATGCTTGAAGGGCTGTGGAGAACAGGGGATGTACCTCCACCTTTGGTGGGAATGCCCTCAAATCTCCCAACTATGGCACGAAATGGCCCAAATAGTCAATAGAACGCTACATAGCAACCTCCTACTAGACCCATGGATCTGGCTCCTTTCTAAACCATATGAATCCCTAACCAGGGCCCAAAATAAACTCACAGCCCGGGTCGCACTGGCCACACGCAGAACCATAGCCAGACATTGGGGCAGCAAAGATACCCCCTCTGCACCAGAAGTACTATGGAAAATAGAAGACGCCATCGAAATGGACAAACTGTCCGTCCTAATCCATGATACAATTAAAACCTTCCACAAAATATGGGATCCATGGCTGATAAGACCCACAATAGCACCATAGACCCTTCGGGGCTTACCCTCCATGGCCCGACAGACCTAACTTCGTACACCCCCCCCCCCCCCCCCCCCCCCCCCCCCCC